TGGTTTTAGAAAGCAGTTGTACCATCTCTACCTAGGTACTGTCTATGCCCTATGCCCTGATTTTGATCTGCTTTCTGTTTTTACATATTTCTTAGAATGTCTGTAATCTTGGCTCAATCTTCTTTCAAATAGCATTGTGCCCTTGGTACTTTGCAATGTTGTATTTTTGTTCTTTTTTTCTTTTCTTCCTCTAATATTTTTTTGTACCAGGGATTTAATCAGGGTTAAGTGGGCGCTTAACCACTGAACCACATCCCTGACTCTTTTTATTTTGAGAGATGGTCTCATTAGTTGCTTAGGGCCTTGCTAAGTTGCTGAGGATGACATTGAACTAGTGATCTTCCTTCTTCAGCCTCTTAATTGCTGGCATTACAGGCATGCACCACTGCACCTTGTCTTTCATGCTGTTGCAGTATATTTGAGTTGTTTCTGGGTTTACATGATTATGAATAAAGCCACTATAAAAATTGTGCATAGATTTTTCAATGAACATACAGTTTTATTTCCCTTCACTAAATGGCGGTGAGTGGGCTATTTCAGGTTATATGGTTATGTGTATTTTTAAATTCATATTGAAACTTTACTAAAGTGGCTATCTACTTTTTTCTTTATTTTTTGTACTGGGGATTGAATCCAGGGTCCTTAACCACTGAACCACATCCCAGCCGTTTTTTATTTTTATTTTATTTATTTTAAAGTTTTCTGTTTTTTTCGTTGTTGACTAACCTTTATTTTATTTATATGTGGTACTGAGAATTGAACACAGTACCTCCACCACTGAATTACAGCCCTAGCCCCTTGTTTTTTTATTTTTGAGGCAGGGTCTTGCTAAATTGCTAGGAACTTTGCTAAGTTGCTGAGGCTGGCCTAAAATTTGAGATCCTCCTGCTTCAGCCTCCTGAGCTGCTGGGATTACAGGCCTTCTAGCAGCTGCTATCCAGTTTTTCAATGCCACCAGCAATTGCTGATTGTTCTCCATCCTCCTCAACATATGGTGTTGTCTTCTACAAAATTTGTCATGTTAAATAAGTGTATTGTGATATCTCATTGTGGCTTAAATTTGTATTCCTCTAGTGCCTGATGATGTTGAATATCTTTTTGTTTATTAACCCTATCCATTCTCTTTGGTGAAGTGAATGTTCAAGTCTTACTCATTTGACAATCAGTTGTTTTCTTATTAATGTGTTTTAAAAATCATTGTTACAATTTCTTTTTTTATATCTATTTTTTAGTTTTAAGTGGTTACAATATCTTTATTTTTATGTGGTGGATCCAAACCAGTGCTTCACAAATGCTAAGCGAGCACTCTACCACTTGAGCCACAACCCCAGCCCCAAATTTCTTTTTTATATAAATGTTTTGCAAATATTTTCTTTCCATTTAAAAACAGAGGAACCTCTCCCTCTCCCTCTCCCTCTCCCTCTCCCTCTCCCTCTCCCTCTCCCTCTCCCTCTCCCTCTCCTTCTCCTTCTCCTTCTCCCTCTCCCTCCTTTCTCTCCCTCCCTTCAGTTTATACAAAGGTGGGAAGCAGCAATATGGTAGATTTGTGGAAATTGTGAATTCTGTATAGGTTCAAATGAGCACCTGTGATCTTGAGCAAGTTACTTAACCTCTGTAGGTCTGTTTCTCTATGTAAAATGGGTACAGAAAAAATACCTACTTTATAAGTTTTTGAGGATAATGAAAGCAATGTATACACATATATACACACATGCACACACTAACTGATTGACTAACTTTGTGGGGGTGGCAGGGAGGTTCTGGGAATCAAATCCAAGGCCTCACACTTGCCAGACAAGCACTTTACCACTAAGCTATACCCCTGGTTATATATGTGTATGTGTGTGTGTGTGTGTGTGTGTGTGTGTGTATATATATATTTTTTTTTAAAACATGATTATTATTATTATTATTTTAGTTCTCAATGGACCTTTATTTTATTTATTTATATGCGGTGCTGAGAATCGGACCTAGTACCTCGTATATGCTAGGCAGGTGCTCTACCATTGAGCCACCCCCTCAGCCCCTATATATGTATTTTTAATAAGGGATAAGGACTGGTTTGTAGTAACTACTTGATAAAAGTTATACTTTATTTTTCTGAGTCATGAAATCTTTGTTCTCATTTTAACTACTTAATTTTAATTGATATTTACAGATACTTGATTTTTACAGAGAGGTAATTAATTGATTTTTATGGTATACATTTAGAACACTGTTTCTCAAGTAAGATAGTTTTTCTTCTCAAGGATATTTGACAATATCTGAAGACATTTTTGGTTGTCACAACTAGGGGGGAGTGGTTCTACTGGAATCTGTGGTGAGTATAGGTCAGGAATGCTGATAAACAGCCTATAGGCAAAGTACAGTCCCCTATAATAAGAATTATCCAATCCATAATATTAATGTTGAGGCTGAGAAAACTGTTTTAAAACCATTTAAAACATGGAAAGTATAAACTTTTTTTCTTGTTGCTAGGGTTTGAATCCAGGCCCTCATGCTTACTAAGTACACATTCTACCACTGAGTTACACACTCTAATCCCTTTAAAATTTTTTTCTTTTTCCCCAGTGCTGGGGATTGAACCCAGAATCTCGTGCCTTCAGGGAAAGCAGTCTTATTACTGAGCTACATCTCTAGCCCCCAAAGGTGCAAATTTTAAATCTACTGGTAGGTGAATCTTGACTTGTACACCTGTTGAACTCTGTCTGCTAGAAAGTATAGAACGTGGCCTGGTGCGATGGTGTAAGTCTGTAATCCCACTGACTTGGGAGGCCGAGGCAAGAGGATCACTAGTTCAATGTCAGCCTGAGCACCTTAGCAAAGTCCTAAGCAACTTAGTGAGATCTTTTCTCTAATTAAAAAAATATAAAAAGGTTTGGGGTTGTGGCTTTGTAGTTAAGCGCCCCTGGTTTCAATCTCTGGTGCCATCAAAAAAAAAAAAGGAAGGAAAGAAAAACATACAAGTATTTTATGAAGACAGTAACTTCTAGCTTTTGAGACCATTTTAGAGATTGAATGAAAAAAGCATATCTTTATGAAATTTACCAGTTTGTTATCTGTTATCTTAGATACCTGTGTTCTACACCTACTTATTTATGGCCCTGTAGATCCAACCTACTTTCTCACTAATATTAGGCAAGCATTCTATCACTAAATTACACCCATACCCCTATTCTACACCAACTTTGAATTCTCCAAATCAAGGAAGTTCTGTTATCTTGTGTTTTCAGTAATGAGCATTTTTTTCTAATTTAAAAGTGCTTAGGGGGGCTGGGGATGTGGCTCAAGCGGTAGAGTGCTCACCTGGCATGCGTGCGGCCCGGGTTCGATTTTCAGCACCACATACAAACAAAGATGTTGTGTCCGCCGAAAACTAAAAAATAAATATTAAAATTCTCTCCTCTCTCTCAAAAATAAAAATAAAAAAATAAAAGTGCTTAGGGAGCTGGGGTAGTGAGTGGCCCAGAGGAAGCGTGCTTGCCTTGCATATGTGAGGCACTGGGTTCGATCCTCAGCACCACATACAAATAAAACAAAGGTATGTTGTGTCCACCTACAACTAAAAAATAAATGTTAAAAAAATACCTATAAAAAAAGTGCTTAGGCACACTTGTTTGTACAATAGATTTATTACAGCCCACGAATGTGTGTGTTTGCTTCTCTCTGTATGATAGTGAAAAATGTGTAGCTGATGAAGGAGGAGTAGTTAATAAGACCTAATAGTAACTTTTACAGATAATATAAAAAAAAGTAGAAATAAAAAGAAAAGGAATTTGTTTGTCGAGGAGAGGTGGGAGGCTTTGAAATAACAATATCAAAAACATTGAGGGCACAGGCTGGGGTTGTGTCTCTGGTAGAGCACTTGCCTAGCATGTGTGAAGCACTGGGTTCGATTCCCAGCACTGCAAATAAATAAATAAAATAAAGGTCCATCAACAACTAAAAAAATAAAAAAACTGAGGGCATAGAGAATTATTCTTTCTATGATAGTTCATAGTAAATGGCACTTGGTCTCAAAAAGTAATTATATGTTTAATATATGTAGGAAGTTTTTTTTTTATTAACAATATCTTTTTTTTGATGGTGGAGTTACTGGGAATTGAACTCAGGCACTTGACCACTGAGCCACATCCCCAGTCCTCTTTGTATTTTATTCAGAGATAGGGTCTCACTGAGTTGCCCAGCACCTTGCTATTGGTGAGGCTGGCTTTTAACAATATCGTTTTTTTATTCTTACCAGCAGTGCACAATGATCGCAAGTTTTTCTTTCTTTCTTTTTTTTTTTTTTAGTTGTTGATTAACCTTTATTTTATTTATTTGTTTATATGTGGTGCCGAGAATTGAACCCAGTGCTTCACACATGCTAGGCAAGTGCTCTCCCACTGAGCCACACCCCTGCTCTATGTAGGAGATATTTAAAAGATACTGCTTTGAGTATTTTACAACTGTTCATTTATTTATGAGCAATTAATCTTCATATAATGATGTTACTGGGGACTGAACCCAGGGGCACTTTATCACAGGTCCATCCCCAGCCCTTTTTATTTTAAGACAAGGTCTCACTAAGTTGCTTAGGACCTTGCTAAGTTGCTGAGGCTGACCTTTAACTGTGATCCTCTTGCCTCAGCCTCCTCCAGCCTCACTTCTGGAGCTGCTGGGATTATAGGCATGTACCACCATGCCTGGCTATATAATGACCTTTAACAGGACAGTGGGTTGGGATTTTTTACTTAGTGTGCACAATGATCTTTGAATAACTAATAAAAAGCAAGTGATAAGAAAGTAAAAGGAAAATCAAAGTAACCCTATCAGCCATTTCCTAAAATTACCTAGTTTTCCTTAGAAGCAAGCCACTGTTTTAAATTTTTTTGTTACTATCATCTTTTTTTTTCTTTAATTTTTATTGTTGGTTGTTCAAAACATTACATAGTTCTTGACATATCATATTTCACACTTTGTTACTATCATCTTTAAAAATGATTTTTCCTCTTAAAAAGGAATCCAGAACATTGGCTGAAATTGCAAAAGCAGAGCTGGATGGCACCATTTTGAAGAGTAGACCTCTCCGAATTCGTTTTGCTACACATGGAGCAGCCCTAACGGTCAAGAACCTTTCTCCAGTTGTTTCCAATGAGCTTCTAGAACAAGCATTTTCCCAGTTTGGTCCAGTAGAGAAAGCCGTTGTGGTTGTGGATGATCGTGGTAGAGCTACAGGAAAAGGTTTTGTAGAATTTGCAGCAAAACCTCCTGCACGAAAGGCTCTGGAAAGATGTGGTGATGGGGCGTTTTTGCTAACAACGTAAGTTTTAAATATCTCGTCCTTCTTTTGTCCAGTTACATATGGTCTTCTCTCTGTTCTGGAATTCTGTCTTCCTTTACAATTCATACTGTCTTGGCATATGGTAAGTAGGTATTGAATGAATTACTGATGAATGTGAAAAAGGAATTTTTATGTATTGCTTACTAGGACTTATGAATCATATAAAACAATCCTTTAAGAAAATTTAGCTTTTATTGAGGTATAATTTGAGCCAAATAAGTTTTAACAAATGTTTATAACCATGTAACTACCACTATAATCAAGATATGGAACATTTCCATTGTCCCCCAAAAGTTGCATCGTGCCCCTTTGTACTTACTCTCTACTACTTACCCCTGCCCTAAGTAGATATTAATCTTTTCATTACCACAGATAAGTTTAGTCTTTATTAATAGAAATCATGTAGCATGTACTCTTTTGTGTCTGGTTTCTCTTGCTTAGTGTGTTTGTGAGATTTTATCCTTATCAATGTGTGTATAGTATTTTATAGCTGAATTATGTTCTGTTTTATGACCATATCTAGTTGTCCAGTGACTTATGGGTTGGTGTTTGGCCAACTGTTGTGAATAAAGCCACTATGAATATTTGTGTACAAGTCTTTTTTTGAACATTATGCTTTCATGTGGCTTAGGTATATACTTAGGGGTAAGTTGCTATATGTTCATTTTCCTAAAAAACCTGTTAAAACTAACTGGGTGTGGTGTTGCCTTCCTATAATCCCAGTGGTGTGGGAGTCCAAGGCAAGAGGATCTCAAGTTTGAAGTCAGCCTCAGCAATTTAGCGAGGCCCTAAGCAACTTAGTGAGACCCTATCACAAAATAAAAGAAGGGCGAGGAATATAGCTCAGTGGTTAAGTGCCCCTGAGTTCAATCCCCTGGTACTCCTCCAGAATCCCCAAAATAAAAAACAAAAACTGACAAAACTGTTTTCCAAGGTGTTTGAATCCCCACCAGCCAAAAATGAGAGGCTCTAGCATTTTTAGTTTCTCTCTTTCTCTCTCTCTCTCTTTTTTTTTTTTTTTTGATAGTAGGGATTGAAGGTTGCTTTACCATTGAGCTACATTCCTAGTCCTTTTTAAATTTTTTTAACATCTTTAAAAAATTTTTGAGACAAGGTCTTGCTAAATTAACTGAGTCTTCTTGCTATCCTTCTGCCTCCTCCAGTCTCTGGGCATTTTTAATCTTAGATATTCTAGTGAATATAGTAGTATCTCATTGTGTTTAAAATTTTATTTTCCTGATGGCTAACAATAAGCATCCTTTTTATCTGCTTTTTGGCAAGTTATATATCCATGAAGTATCTAAAATGTTTTGGCCATTTTCTAATTGAGTGATTTGTCTTTTTACTAAATTATCTATTTTAGGTACATGTCTGTGGGAGGCCAACCTTATGGGTGACTGAGTTACACTCCCCGGCTGGGTGCTGAGGCGCTCAGTCAGAGAAATGGGTGTGTCTTGCTGTAGCCCCATGGGTGAAGCTATGCTCATCTGTTCCTTTGTAATATAACCCCTTGCCCTTTTTAGGATAGAATCTTCCATGGAAGTGCCTTGTGTGTGTCCCCTTCTCTTACTGTGTCCTTGGGTGTGGCCTACTCAGGCTCAGTCAACCTGCTGACAGTGGACTTCATGAAGATACTCAGCCCCCTGAAACCTGACCCCTTGCCTCATTTGAATAGCTTCCCTCAATAAAAGGGGTCAGCATGTGCTCTCTCTCTCTCTTTCTGAGGACCTTTAAGGTCAGAGGAGCCGTCACAGTGACCCCAAAGAAAAAGGTATTTGTGTCTCTTGTGTGGTTATTTCGTGCATCCCAGTTAGCCCAGTTTAACTGGAGTGACCCCTGAGCCTTTTAGTCGCGAGAACAGAAACCCAGCACATGTCTATATTATGAATATGTCTCTTTGTGGCTTTCCTTTTTTTTTTTTTTTATAGTACTGGAGATTGAATCTAGGCTTTCATGTGTCCTAGGCAAGTGATCTACCACTGAGCCTCATTCCTGAGCCCTGTGGCTTGCTTTTTAATTTTCTTAACGTGATTTCCAAAGAGCATAAGTTTTTGTATTTTGTGAAGTACAGTTGAAAAGGTTATAGTTGCATTTTTCTTATTTGCATTTTTGTCAAAATTGGAAATCGGGGGGGGGGGGRGAAAAGGTCTGGGGGTGTTGCTCAGTAGTAGAGTACTTACCTGGCATGCCTGAATCTATTTTCCTTTCTTTTCTGTTTATCACTGTACCTGCTCTAAAGCTACTTAGTTAATTACCTAATTTATTTTAAGCTTTGAGAAATTAGAGAGTATAAATCATCTAACTTTTCTTTTGAAACTGGGGATTGAACTCTTAGCATTCTGCTGCTGAGCTACATCCCTAGCCCTTTTTATTATTTTATTTTAAGACACGGTCTCTCTATATTACCCAGGCTGGCTTGGAGCTTGTGATTCTCCTCATTCAGCCACTTGAGTAACTGGGATTACAGATGTAAGCCCACCCGTGTCCAGTCAACTTCACTCTTTTTTCAAAACTGTTCTATGACAGATTCTTTGTTTTTTAAATTTAGCTTATTTTAATTTTTTTGGTACTATTAAACTGTAGTCCCAGAAGCTCTTCACCACTGAGCTATATTCCTAGCACTTAATTGTTTTTTATTTTGAGATAAGATCTCACTAAATTGCTTGGGGCCTCACTAAATTTCTAAGGGTGACCTCAAATTAGGGATTTTCTTGCCTCAGAGCTTCCTGTACCACTGGGATTGTGGGTATGTGCACACCTGGCAGATTTTTGTATTTCTTTATCATGTGGTGCGGTCAGCCATCGGTTGTGAAATATTCAAATATTTTAGGGTGTGGGAAATTGAATTTAAAATAATATTTCTTTGGTCTTTAGAGGTTTGGATATTTGTAAAACATTTTTCACTCTGTTTTTTACTGTTTAGCACTCATGCTAAAATTGAAATTCATAGTAGTTCTGCTGCTTTACAACACAGCCAGCTTGTTCTGGTATCAGCCTCTGGTCTTACTGTTTTTGCTTAGAGATCTTTCTTCCCTTATTGGGATAAACCTCATTTTCTTTTCTTTTCTTTTTTTTTTTTTGGTACCAGGAACTGAACTCAGGGGCGCTGAACCACTGAGCCACATCCCCACTCTTTTTTGTATTATACTTAAAGACAGTTTCACAGAGTTGCTCAGGGCCTTGCTAAATTGCTGAGGCTGGTTTTGAACTTGTGATTCTTCTGCCTCAGCCTTCAGAGTCTGTGGGATTAGAGGCGTGTGCCACTGCGCCTGGCTCCATTTTTTTTCCTACTTTGCTAAAATTAGTTCTCTTTACCGAAGAGGCTGGCCTTGAAATTGACATTCTCCTGTCTCAGCCTCCCAAATTGCTGGGATTACAGGAATGTGAAACTGGCCAGCTCATCCTATTTTAAAGTAACCATCCTCTGTACCATCACTTAGGATTCACTCCTCCTTTTAGTTCTCTTCATAGTGCCCATGCTTTAATTTGTATGTCTTTCTTTTTTAATATTTATTTTTTAGTTGTAGCTGGACACAATATCTTTATTTTTTATGTGGTGCTGAGGATCGAACTCAGGGCCTCACACGTGCTGTGTGAGTGCTGTACTGCTGAGCCACAATGCCAGCCTCTAATTTGTATGTCTTTCTCTGCAAATAGAATGTAAGCTCCACGAAGGCAGGGGTTTGTTTTGTTCCAACTCTGTAATCCCAGCACCTGTGTTGTGTTTCATTTTAATTTTATTTTGCAGTGTGGGAACAACACCTATACTCTAATGATACCTGGTCACATAGTAGGCTTGTGGTAATTATTTCATGAATGAATGAAGGAATGGGCAAGACATTTCTTGAAATGGGAGAAGCATGTGATTTGTATTTTTTTCTATTGCAAGCTTTGATGAATTGGTGTTTTTTAAAGTGATAGCCACACTGGTAAATATTTAACAAGTTCTCATAAGTAGCTTTTAAATATTTTAAAGAACAGTTTTTTTTGGGGGGGAGGCGGGGTACCAGGGATTGAATCCAGGGGCACTCTGTCACTGAGCCTCATCTCCAGCTGTTTTGTATATTATTTAGAAGGGTCTCACTGAGTTGCTTAGTGCCTTGCAGTTGCTGAGGCTGGCTTTGAGCCGGCGATCCTCATGTCTCAGCCTCCTGAGCTGCTGGGATTATAGGTGTGTGCCATCGCACTCAACTTGAAGAATGGTTTTGAGGGAATTGGCAAGGTGTTGAACATTTTATTATCTGAGAGATATTTCATAATCATGGTTTCTTGGATTTTTGCTGTAATACTGGTTATTATTTGTCCTATTTTTCATGTGAAAAAATTGACCCAGAAATGTAAAGTTATATGCTTAAAGTTGTATAGCAGTTAGTTGTAGTAAGTTGAATTATAGCTGTAATAAGTTTAGTTTGGTATCAGGTCCCTTGCTTTTTATGTTGTGGGATGATTGATGCTGCCTACAGATTCTCTTTGCTTAGAAGCTTTGCATCTCGGAGAATTCAGAATGCTCTTCTCTTCTGCTGTTTGCATGGTAGTGCCAGCTAAAATATGTGGTGGAGAGGAAGTCTTTTGACTGTCTTGTCTAAACTGTAGTCCCTCTGTTATTCTCATTCTTATTCTAAATTTTTTTTTTTTTTGGACACTGGAGAGCACTCAGCCACTAAGCCACTTCCCCACTTCCTCAGCCTTATTTTGTATTTTATTTAGAGACAGGGTCTCACTGAGTTGCTTAGTGCCTCACCCTTGCTGAGGCTGGCTTTGAACTCAAGGTCCTCCTGTCTCAGCCTCCGAAGCCACTGTGATTACAGATGTGCGCCACTGTGCCTGGTCTTGTTCTAGTTTTGTGGTAAGGATTAAACCTAAGCTCTTGTGCATAATAGGCAAATGCTCTACTACTGAGCATACCTCTAATCCTCCTGTTATTTTCTTTTTTAATATATTTTTTATTTGTAATTAGACACAATACCTTTATTTATTTA